CCCCAAAACCCCAAAACCCCAAAACCCCAAAACCCCAAAACCCCTACAAGTCGTTAATGGCTGGAAAATAATAATTATTATAAAGATGAACTTTATGCATGTGAGACACAGAGCCCAAGATTTGGCTCTGAAGTACCCAGTTTTGTATGCTTTCAACTACCCTTTGACTTACTACTCTGCCTTTGGGTATAAACCTTTTAAAGGTGTTAAAGAATCATTGGATAAGTACACTGGAAATGCGATTATGATGCCAAATTTGACAAATCCATCTTCAAATGTTGAGATTAGGGCTACAAGGTTTTTGAATAACTTTGAAAAACTTGCTAAAGGTCATGAGAAAGTGCATATTGTTGCACATTCGTTCGCTGGCTTTGATATCAGAGCAATGATTGCTCTATATGACCTCCAGCCAAAGATTGCTTCTCTTTCTACTGTTTGAACTCCACATAATGGATTGACCTTACTTGACAATTTGACTAAGCATACAGAAGCAGAGGCTTACTTGTCTGATGCCCTTCGTCCATTAGGATTGAATCCTTATAATGTTGAAGAATTCAGAGCTGGGACCATGTACGAAATGAATGAAGAATTAGAGGACTCAGAAACATATCAAATTTACTCATTCGGCTCAAGGACTTCTCAAGCAAATGTTGACAAATTTATTAGGTTCACAGCTAGTGCAATTATGGACCAAGACCCACTTGATGACAATGACGGAATTACACATCCTAATGATTGAAAATTTAGAGACTATTTACTTACATTTGAGGTTTCTCATTATGAATCGGGAGGTCTGAAAGCAGGATTTGACATGGATCTCATCTTCGGATCAGTAACTGACAACATCAAGTTGACTGAAGCTAAAGGAGACGAAAATATTGCTAAGAAATTTGGGCTTTCATATCAGGAAATGTAAATGTATTCCTCTTAAAATTAGAAGGTTCAACAAATCATCAAAATATTGGGGTTTTGGGGTTTTGGGGTTTTGGGGTTTTGGGGTGTTGGGG